GGAGGGGTTTTGGGGTGGGTGCAGTGTGTCCCCCCCAGCCGGACTGGGATATTTGGAATGGTGCAGGAGAGAGCCGCAGGCTTTCACCCCTCTCCCGCTCCGTTTCACGCCCGTGCTGGCAGCATAATGGAGCCCAGCACTTTATTGATTAACACTTTCCTTTTCATTGATACGCTTTAGCTGCTGCCAAATGTTTTATTTAGATACAAGTGGCTCCGTGGGTGATGGAACCATCTGATCCGACCCAGAGTGAAACAGGACGCGCGCGACTCGCCGTACCGTACGCTTTGCCACCAGGCTTGAAGTGACCGAGCATTTCCCCACCGTGCGTTGTACCGACACACGAGGAAGACAATGATCACGTACAAACGTAAAACCACATTGACTTATGGGGTCTGAGTCGCAAGACGTTGCTTATCTGGATCATCCCACGTCTGTGTGCGGTTTTCCGCCAGCCCAGTTTGCACTGGCTGGTGTGGGAGCCCCGGAGCAAAGCTCCTCTTTGCTACTCGTGGTGTCAAAATTGTAACCGTGTAGAAACCTGCCAAGGTTTTGTACAGTTGTTCCTTGGCTACCCAGAGCCTTTGGGAGGAGAGAAGAAAGCGGAGGGTGGTCAGGGGAACAGAAAGCATATATAATTAACCGTTTTTCAAGCAAGGTCCCTCACAGAACATTTTTAATGACATTTTTATCACTCTTGCCGATTTAAAATAGAAGCACAAAGAAACACACGAATGCAGCTCCTGGGTTAAACCGATACATCACCCACAGCAGCCACGAGCCCGGAGTTCACCGTACTTACCACGCTGCACCTCGCCAGCCCCGTACCACACCTCATGGCACGGGAAGCACCACGGGTGACATCGGTTTTGGCTAAGAAACAGAAGCTGAGCACTTCTCCTGAGCTGGGCTTTGCGGTCGGGTGAATCTGACTTCCCTACAGTAGCGAGACTACACAAGGATCCTATGGAAACCCTTCTGCTTTGCTTATGGGGTTTGATTAATTTGCGTTAATACCTGTTAGGAAACGAGTGTTTTCCCAAGAAACAGTGACTCTCAGCGTCCAGTCGTAACCAGAACACACACACAGCACAAACCAATACATCTCTGTAGAAAATGAGAGTTACAATAAAATTCCTCTATTCCTTTCAAATTCCAGAAGCAAGTTTCGAAGCTCCCCGAGGCTGCCTGACCCGACTTTCTGCTCTCTACATGGTGATTTTTGCCCGTGAGCTCAGTAAATACAACCACTGCTCTGCCCGCTCCTCCGTATTGCCCAGGGAAAGGTTCTCGTCTCAAAATCCACCTTTTCCTTCCCCACCACTAAAGAGAAGACAACATTATTCAAACCCAAGGAACCGCTTTCCGTGTGTGCCAAAGGTGCAGAGCGATATCCCGGTGCGTGGATACGGCTGCTCCTGTTGCCGTACCTTGATGCCACGTGGGAAATCCTGTCGCGTCCCAGGAGGGCTCCCGGGAGCCCACGCGTGGACACGAGCTGTCCTGGTGCTGCCTAACATCGGGAAAGCCTCACTGCCTCCCTTTCCAACTCTGATCTAACAGATGTTTGTAGGAGCCCTCCAGCAGCTGGGGCAGGCCTTGGCTGAGACGAGGATGGGGAGGCAGGCGCCAGGTGCCATGTGGAAAAGGACAGGCTGCTGCTGAAGGAGGAGTGAGAAGTTAAGGTCCCCAAATAATCCCCCATCCTACCAGTAAATCCACAGGGAAAGACCCTTTAAGCTTCCCCAGGGCCCCTCTCGGGAGCAGCTGTGATGGGGCAGCCGTGCCCGCTCTGCCAGGAGGTGTTAACGATCCCACTTCTCATACTTACAGATGAAGGGATATAAATTACTTCACCTGCTTTTGGACTCGTTGCGCTCCTTTTTCCTACTTTAAGTTGGGTCTGTCACTAAGAGAAGGGCTGTTGAAACATCGGCTTCTTAATGTCACTTCCCATTTCAAAAATCAGTATTGTACATCCTTACGCCTGCAAATGCTTTACACCCCACGGAGGAACGCAGGCCCACCGGCCACCGTACAGAGGAATAACCTGTACACCACCGTACAGCGGAATAACCACGCGCCCATCCAAACTGGAAGTCTTTTCCAAACTTTTCCTGTGCAGGACAAGAGACAGAACCCATCGCCAGTGTGAAGGGCATTCTGTGGAGTGTGAGGGGGAAAGGGTGCTGCGGTCCAGACTGCCCAGGCAGAAACACTCTCATAAACCCCATCTTTTCTTCACCAGAGCATGGGAGGAGACCTGGTTATTTCTGCAACACACGGTCGATTCCATCTTTTTTGTTTTCCTTGGTGATGAAGTGCGAACTGTCACGCAAACTATAAGGACACCAATGGTTCTCCTGAGCACAGAAACTCCATATTCCCTCTCCTGCTTATATTCCTGAAGATGCCCAAGCCCCTTCCACTTGCTTCATCACTCCTAAGGCAATTCTGAGCGCTGCAATTCCATTTTCCTTGCCCCGTGACAGCAGAGAGAGCACACTAACCAGGTCACGCAACGACACAGGAACCAACAGGCCAACACTAATGCACACCAAGGGTCACCTTCAACCCGTCCCGTGCCCACCAGCGGGGACACAAACAATACTTGCATGTCTTGCCTAGATACTGATGACCTAAATATCTTAGTTTCGGAGGCAGCAATGTGCAACATGAACATCTCCCTCTCTTGCTGTGACTCCTTTGAATTTGCAATGCAAAAGCCCAAGAGGATCATCTCGGTTCCCACGACAGGTCCCATGCTGTCACTCTCTTTTTTAAAATTCCTTAGGAATTCCATTTAGAAGGAATAACGCGAATCTACCATTGTTAATCGTCTTCTCTGCTTTTACCCATTAACACGCCTGCTGTCCCTCTCTCCTCCCAGATTACAGATCTGAGGCTTTTCCTCCTGTAACCTCTGCTGATGAAACATAAAGGGAAGTCACAAACGAGACGAAATAGCCTCGTTACGCGAAGACGCAATCCACAGAGTTGTTCCGTCGGCTCAAGCAGGATGTTCCCGCTGTGTAAATACGGCAGAGAGCCCCGCAGCTCCTTGTGACGGACTCGGCAAAGGCGGATGCAGAGGCAGGTGCCATACCTTGAAGACAGTGTCTTGTGCCTTGGATGGGCTGGGCAGAGGGTGGAATTTTGCCCGGGGAGCTCTGGCTGTGGCTGGCAGCAACAGGACTGACGAAGGCACTGCTTGCATTTCCTGGGAGGCTTGCTCCCCTCCCTTGGGAGCCGGGCACGCGGCGAAGCACTTTAGACCTGCCGACAGCGGCATAGAAGGTGTTTGGGACAACAGGAGGGGCTGGATTCAACGGCACTGGGAGTTTCTACACAAAGCGTGGTCTGTACGGGTGTGTGGGTCTAGAAACCACAGGTGCAGAAAGTTCTCTTTATTTTATTTGCGTTTTCCCGATCCGGACATAGAGATGTACTTGCCGTCCTTGACTCCTGAGGTATTACTTTTTGAGGGAATCAGAGAGAAAATATATCCCTTATAAACGAGTACCTGGGCTCAGGGAGCGCTGGCTCCGCACACAACGGCCCTTTTCAGCGGCTGCAGGAGGACGGGCGCTCCGGCTTTTCAACCAAAGAGCGCAACACGCCACAAAAAAAGCTTTATGAGCGTAGAGCTGCGCTTGACTTTTAAGGGCAGGGTTTAACCCTGCTGAAAAGCTTTTCTCCCTACGGCACTGGCTCTGCAAGGGTGGGGTTTTTT